ATGAATAATTCATAATTTTAACATATTCAAATATTTAATTTTTTAATTAACCAAGAAATTAATTACTAAAATTTTTAGAACAATTAATCATCTAATTTTAATTTTAATTTTAATGATAAATTAGTTAAGAGTTTTCTCTTAATTAATTAATTACACAGAATCAAGTCTAAATTAAAGTTTGTCTTCTTCTAATAATTCTTCCATAAATGAGTTCCATTTAACTTTTATCCTTTTTATGGATTAGATTTAGTTCTCATTTAATAATTAAACTTTTTAATTAAATATATAGATACATAATTTCATTTGAATACATCATAACCCATTAACATATTTTTGTAACAATCAAAAAGAGTTAAATATTATATTATACTTTTAAACAGAAGCAGTCAACACATAACTAATTTAATATGCAGCAGTAACTTTTATGCATCTACCCCCAGAACAGGGAACGACTATATATCACAGTAAAAAAGTCATGTTCATGGTTCTCATTGCTATGCATTTCCAAGGTTTAACCCCCCAAAAGTACATTTGGAATATTTTCCAGCTTCATGTTTGCTTACACCCAAAGTCTAACAACAAAAAGGATTGGACTCTGTTAACTATCTGCTACAATAAACCATAAGGAATACTTCAACTCTAAATTCGACCTGTCATTTTCCGCCAGGTAAAGAAAAAGAGAAACAAATTCGAAGGGCAATTCAATCGTCCAAGCATGAGTGTCCGAGATTCTTCAATTTGACGCCTTTTCTAATCATCAGAACCCTTGGGAGAATTTTCCGGTGTCTTGAGATCTGCAGCCGTTGTTCCAACTTTATGTGCCTCAACAGTCACACGGAACTCTTCAACTATAGAAGCATCCTTTAACTTCAATGCAAATGTAGAAAGACTGCCTTTCCCTTCACTAGTACTGTTTACGCAGGCAAAAGTGATGCCTCTCTTTTCCATATTTGTGAGTTTCATCTCTGGGAAAATATTTGCATTCAAAATCAACCTATAATTTCCCTTAGCTCTCATAAGAAGCCTAGCTTTTTTTGAACCCGTTGTAGCAACATTCACCTTAATCTCTCCCTTGCCGCGCTCCTTCCAGCCCCCATTTAGATATTCAAAGAGGACTGAATCAGCTGAAAAAGCCACTCGCTCTTTCTCTTCTCCAGTCTCTACAGTAACCTCCGACATGGATGGAAAGCCACTTCCCTCACTCTTTGACCCAACAGAAGCTCCCGCTGCACTAAACAGGGAGGAGTTTCCATTGTTTGAGAGGCCAAAACTGAAAGAAGGCTGCTCGTTTTTCAATCCAAAGAGAGATCCAGTAGTAGTACCCATTGCTGAACCATCCTTTGAAATAGACCCGAAGGAGAATGTGGAACTAGAAAATCCAGTTCCGGCAAGTCCTGTGAAGGCATTTTGGCTACTTGAAAGCTGTTGGAATGAGCTCAATGGGGCACCATCAACATTTTGTTCTGCATTTTCAATGTCATTATCTTTCTTGTCGGCATTCTCAATCTCATCACATTTTACCTGCTTTTCACCATCTACCACAGGTTCCGGGGACTTCTCAATCTTATCAATGTTCTCCTTGACATCAACACTCTCTTTATCAGTTTCTGAAGGACTGATTTTCTCATCCTCACCCTTTCCAGCTTCCCCAACAGCATGTTCTTGAACATTTTCTGGAACTGCTTTCTCACCTTCATCCCCCTGAGTCTCATTGCTCGCATCTTTAGAAACAGCTTTCTCACTAGAAGGTAGTATTTCAGTGGAAACATCCACTTGGGTTTCTTTTGATTCAGCTGGCAGTTCTTTAGATTCAGCTCGAGTTTCTTTGGATTCTACTGGGATTTCTTTAGATTCAGCTACGGTTTCTTTAGACTCAGCAGTATGTTCTTTGCTTTCAGCAGAGTTTGCACTGGATTCAATTGGAGCAACCAGGCGAATCCCAGCAAATGGATTTGATGACGGAGCTGATGGGTTCTGACCACGACGGACTTTGACCATTCTTCTACCTGCCAGCACCTCATCACTAGCCCTCTTGAAAGTTCCAGTCTCCAGTTCACCAGAATCACCCTCATCATCAAGACCTGGGTTATCCCGAGAGATTTCCCTTCCAGCAGCCCTCTTCTTTGAAGGTGGAAGGGCACTTTCCGATTCTCCCATTGCAAAGTCAGCAAAAAGATCAAGCAGACCCTTTTATCTCAAGAGAATGAAGCAAAATATGATATACCTGTATACCATCAGAAGCGGTTTTCTAATGTGATGACAAGATCTTTAGAGTTCAAAGGACTAACCAAACTTCAAGCAAAAGATAAAAAAGGACTTAGCACGCAGAAAATAGAAATGAAAGGGTTATCTTCTCTGATGGGCATACAAACAGTTATCTGTTACCCCTATATCCAGAATCAACTTGATAAAAATCTTAAAACCATGACATGGATGGTAAGTCCATCCACACTCATGTTTCAGATCATATTTAAAACGAAAAGTTAGTCAAATAAGCATCAGTTCAGCCAAGTAAAACCTACACTTGGAACACCTAAAATACTTGCATATTGCCAATGAAATTAGAAAAATATAAAATATATGAAAACCAAAATAAGGAACATCTGAGGGTAGAAATGTACATGGTGCACTAATAAACCAGCAACTTTCAACATTCACATAAATGACAATATGGACTCAAGACTCAACAAAAACCAAGCTTCCTTAAAACTCGGAAAATGTCAGCAAAAGAATTACTCGATGTAGGAAAAATTGAGGCTACTTTGCCTATTTAGGGATTTAGCAACAAAGCTACAACTCATAGATAAATTTTCTTAGACATCAAATCTAAAAAGTTGACTGCATCATACTTGATGATTTTATTGCTTGACACAACTTAAAAATTGATAAACACTCAAAAATATTTTATTGAATAACTGACATCTGTCTCAATATTGATATTATAAAGAAATTCATAGTGTTCCCTGAGTAACCTTTCCAAGCAGAAATAAACTAAGAAATAATACTACGACTATAGTTAGAAAATACTACAAAGAATAGAATTCTAAAGTTTTTAAAGTTATAATAATTAGACTCCTAATAGTGCAATAGTTTATATTTTTAAAGAACTATAATTTCTAATCAATTTAGATAATTAAACCATCATGCATAATTCTTCCCTGGTTGAGAAGAGTTGTCCACAAGTTTTGAAGTGGTAAATAATGTAAAACACTGATCTTTGAGTTATGGAACTTAGGTAAAATTCGTACTCGATAATTCTTTTTGATACCGAAAATAATGGAAACACAATTGTTTAAAAGTCTGATATCCTTGTGAGAGGATGAAACCAACATATTAACCAAATTTGTGGTTCAACTTCATCCTTGAGTTGGATCACTAGATCCAATTATTGGATTAGGTTCCTCCTTATACTCATATAGTTCCCTTTAGGTAGTAAAAGGTAAGTAACCTCAAAATCTGTACTCTTACAACGATGTGAGTTCTTGTTTCTTGGCTTAATGGCCTCCTTCTCTTTATCATTTTCATTAATATATATTTTAGGCCAAGTATAAGATAATAAGTTTTGGTAGTCTCATCATGTTGAAAATGTCGGGCATAAAGCAGGTCAATCTAGAAGAAAGTGTGCACATTATAGGAACAAATCACACAAAATAGAATCACTATACGTACTATAACAAATAAAAACACGACTTTGTTGAGTTACTAAAGTGCTCAAATTATTTGCATTAAAAGATTAAGTCATTCAACTGCAAAGATTGAAACAAAGGTTCTTGAAACAATTCTCGAGAATAAAAAATTTTCTTACCTTTATTTCGACAATGAATAAGGGTTTAGAAAATTGAAGAATACTTCCAACCTTTCTTTACTCTAACTGCATAATTGAACTTAATTACAGTCAAGAAAGACTTATCAATGCCATATCTATGAATTATGCTCATTCTCTTCCTTATGATTCCACATATTTAAAATTTTCCCATAAAACTAAAGTTTTGAATCTTAAAAAAAGGTCCACAAAAGGCTGAACTGGTGGCAGTGAACCGGTTTGGTCGAAGTCATAAAACCACAGTGCAACTTTGTTGAAGAGGAAGGCCAAAATGAGAAGAGTAAGCCAAAAATTATTGGCAACTATTTGGAACTGCAAAAACAGGAATTGAAGAGGCCGAACTAATCTGTGTGAACTGATTTGTGCAAATTTGGTTTGAAACTTAGAGCATGAAACACAATGCTTACACGAGTGTTAATGTATATACCGAGGTTGCGCACCAGGTTCAATCACCAGATAACGTTGGGGCTCAACATTATGCTCTGCTTAAGATGTGCTTAAGATGTTGGTGCAGATCACATAACAGTTTGAGGCATGATTACAGGAAAGTCCAAGAATTATAGAAGCAGCGGCAAGCTGAAAGTGCGACTGCAAATTGTATGTTTCTCAATGGAATTTCACAGTAATGCTTTAGGGGTTCAACAATCAAGAGTCTCTCATGCCAGTGCTAACAGCTCTGTTGATGATCGCATGGTAGTTGTCGGTGATTGCAGCTGGCAGCTTATTTTTGGACTTTAGGGTTTACGATTTATGTTTTCATTTTTTATTTCCATATTTTTGCTAATAAAAGCAAAAGCAGCCCTTTTCCATGAGCACTGACCCACACCTTCTTGATACGCAATTATTTTTCTTACAAATTTTTCCATGAGATTAGTCAAGGCAAGCACAGGCAATAAAGCAAGAACATGCTTTAGGGAATTAAAAGTTTGAAGTCCTTATAGCCACTAGGGTTTTGCCAAATATGAAACACCCTTTTATGAACTTATGGAAATAGCCCATCAACTCTAAAAGCCCTCTAAACTGTTTCAAATTGTTTGGTGGTGGTCATTGCTTGACTGCTTCCCCTTCCTGTCATTTGTTTTTACCCCCTAGGAGCAATTAGATACCTGAGGCAAGAGTAGTCTGAAATACATGTTTACTTTGTATGGCATAGAAGGCATTAGTCCTCAATAGCTTAAAACACTTCTAATGCTTCTTGTGCTTCCCGAGGCTCTTCCAATAAACAAGTATGACATCAAGGAAAACAATGAGTTAATGATCTAAAAACACCATTCATAAGAGCCCGAAAAGTTGGAGTGGTTAAGCGGAAAAGGCATTACCAAGAACTCATAACGGCCTTCATGTGTTCCAAATGTCTCTTTTCAACATTTCCCTTTGCCATACGAGTTTGGTGATAACCAAGACATTAGATCAAGCTTTGAAGAAATAGTTGCAACCCTAATTTAACCAATAATTTCTCAATTAAAGGGGTTGGAAACTAGTCTTCCACCAGCCACTTGTTCAACTCTCTCTCGAATTAATGCGCATGCACCATGTGTCATCCTTTTTTCACTATGGATATAAGGAACAGTTATTACATTGATTTATCCCTTCCTCCATGAGTTCCTTCACCATTCCTTTTACTATGTCCTCTTGTTCCCAAGTTTGCTCATATGCTCACTAATTTCCAAAGATATATGAAGACAATCTAGTGATTTCTTGATATGTTTGGGGGTTCGGGGGCAACACCTAAGTAACTTCAGAAACATCTTCATATTGCTTTAACATTGTCCATTTTTGGCAAGTAATTCTTTCTCCTGTTTTTTTTCCAACTTTCTACTGTATTTGCACACAATAAACGTGAGGCACTAAACTTTTTTCAGTGACTTTGCATTTTGGTTTCAAAAATTTGTTTGATCACCATAGTAGAAGCTCTGTAAAATTGGAGCTACCTACCTCCTTTATAAAATGTAAGTATCATTCTCTTGAAATTCCAAACAATGTCATGAGAAACTTAAAGCCATTTGAATCCAGCACTATCTTTGCACACACCCCCACAATGGTAATAATAGTATACACTTCTTATTACATCATCCAACAAAATTCTTGCAAGAATATGTACACTCCAGCTTCTCTCCACTGGCCACTTCCACCAATATTGGTGTCATGGGACTTAATAGACAACCTATCATCTTGGTTACCCAAGTATGAATAAAAGTGATTACCTCCAGAATCCACTAACATATGTAATGGCACCCTTTTAGGCATTCCCACAATTTTCATCAAGTTGTATTCATTGGGACTTTTTTGTTCACACCCCTTAATGGCATATGCTGACAAATGAGGATCTTCCTTTTTGAATTCAGTGTACTTTATTCTTTCCTCCTCCGCTACACTTTTGCATTCTCCATTCCTCCTTGTCAGAAGTTTCTTGTTCTTGCACATGTGATCTGTATGGTACTTCTCATGACAAAAATAACAAAAACCCCGTAGTTCTTTGGTTCCAATATCTTGAGTAGATAATTTCATAGTCTAGTGTTTGGTGTTGATAATAGGCCAGTCTGTTACTAGAAGATGGATAGATCATTGTGCACTAGTTAGGCGGTAAGATCACCTTGTTTGGTGAAGTGCGAAATCTATATATGGTAACTGTTGATGATAAGTTTGGACAGGATTTGAGCTTAGGAATAACAATTGGTGGTTGAATGGTTCATCTTTAGTTGAATAGGATTGGGAATGGGTATTTTGTTTGTATTTGCGATAAGGCTAAGGTGAAGAATAGTAAGAAATGTTGAATTATAGATTGCTTTGTCGATAACAAGGTGAAGTTAGTACATCATCTTGCAGTTTGGATAGGGATAGGAATTATGTATATTTAAGGTTCGTTGGGCACTTACTAATGCTTGAACTTCTAGTTTCAATCCTATTAGGAAATGGTTAAGTTAGGATTCAGTTAAGGAACACCCTGCATAACAAGATATCAAAAGTTCCAAAATATTTTTGTTAAGCAGGTAATAGCTTCAGATTTTTGAGTTCCAGGGTCTCCCCAATTCTTGCATTCAAGAAACCTTAGTATTCATCCCACTTCAGCCACTCATTTTTCCTTAGTTCTTACATTTACTGCCATTCTAAGGCTTTCCCATCCAAATAGCAACAACTATCTTCACTTTCCATGTAAGGTGGGGTCTCTTACATCAAAATACATTCTGCCCAATACCCCCCATCACCTAAAATTTTCCCTCTAACATCTTGGAAATTCTACCTTAGGTTAGTGGAATCCCCAATTCTGTTGCAACTACTTGTTTCCATTTCAAGTTTAGGTATCCATTATTACCTAAGTTCTCTTTTTCCCTTCTGTGTTAAACTCCCTTCTGCAACCCAGTTTCCTAATATTATTCACGTTGATCCTTGCCCAAATTCAAGAATAGTTATCTAATATTATTCATGCTATCATCTGTTTTACACACAACTTAATGGATGTTTCTTCTCGAATTCGCTACTGGTTTCATCAGCTTTCTGTGAGACTCTATCTAATATTTCGTCTTGCCACTACTAAAATTCTTGAGACTTCTGTGCCCGTGTATCCATCATTGTTGCCCAAGAAGGTCTTGGATACCAATGATATAGGTTAAAAAAAAAAAAAAAGGAAAGAAGGTTTTACATAGAAACATTTTGGAAACCAAAATAAATCTTTCCTGTGAATTTAAAGCGAGAAGAAAATTTTAAAAAATAAAAAGTCCACGGTAGAATTAAATCCCCATTTCTTCGGAAACGAAAAGCACAGTGCAACAAATAAGAACAAAAAGGAGAAAATCTAATCATTTCCTTAGTTCAAAAAGCTTTCTTCGCTACGTTCTACCAACCAAACATCCCATACGAGCTTAAAATCTGGAAAGCAAAACAAATTTTACATTTCGCGAGCTGGATCACCAGAAATGTCACGAGTAGAATCATTTAACAAGATAATTACCAATAAAACTACATAACTGTACCTCGATTAAGTAGACAGAAGAGAGCAAGTACCGAAGCAAACGAGATACAAGAGAAAGTAAAAGCGAAATTGCAGATGTAAAGGAAATGTCGAGATAATGAAAGGAAAGTAGTAGGATTGGAATAGTAAGAGATACCTGGAAGCTAAGCGAAGACAATGGAAACAAAACCCTAGCGCGAGAGCGAGAGCAGGAAAGTGTGAGAGATCTACAGATGAAAAGAATGGGTTTTAATATTTTAGGATTATTGTCTTTTTTTTTTTTTTTCATTTTCAT